TGAATATTTGACTTCGAATATTCTTCTTCCTGACACGTTAATGAATTATTTCATAGGGAAACTTTCCAAGTTGGACACACTAACATCTAATTATATAAACACATGCACATAAACATCTGTGTTTTATATATATTCTTTCTCTGATAGCATATTTCAAAATATATTGCAATGTTAACTAAAAATTTATATACATATATATAAATATATATAAATTTATATATATATATATAATTATTAAAAATACTATTGTAGTTTCTTAGCAACATGGTCAGGGATCCTGCCTTCTATCTTATATTTTTTATGATCCTCAGTTTTACCATGATTAAGTAACTTGCTATTAAAAGATACTCAGAAAGTTTAGTTATCAAATTCAAATTAGAGATGCTCATTTGGCACCAATGTAAGTTAGATATGACTTTATTTGAGGTACTGTTTCTATTTAGAAATTGGAATATAAAAGTCTGAGCCAAAAAGATGTATAAGAAAATTATACAAATATATAACCTACAAATTGATACCAGAATAATGAACAACTATAAAGCGTTTAAAAAAGCTTTGTCTATAATAATAACACTAGTCATTAAGAATTTACTGTTTAAAAACAAATTCTGTTATTCATCAGTTTCTACTTTTAAGGTTCTCAAAATATACTCGAGAGATAAATCTCCAAATTTGACATCTGGCAAGGTAAACACTGATACCGATATTGATAATAGTTTTACAAAGTGAATTTTTTAAGAAATCTAGCATGAAACATCTTACAAGTTTATCCTTCAAATATTGCACATATTTTCATAGAATATTTCAAAGGTGAGAGTTATGGAAGAAGGACACCCAGTTAAGCAAGAAAAAGGCAGAAAAATTAGTAAAACAGTAAGCAATACTGTGGAAGTTATTTTGATAAATTTTAAATAATGAGTTTGAAGTATTTTTGTAGTGGTATCTTTCTTTATGAAAAAGATCTGATTCATGATGGGAACATAAGCTTTTTCCTCAGGAAAGGATGAAGTTAAATAAAGCTCTGAAATCTGAAGTCTTAAGATGAGTAACTGTATATCGTGACGTGTTTTCCCCAATTGGATTTACCATATTCCATGACAGTTTTTAATGGGGGCGGATGGGGAGAAACTGAAGTTTCATAAAATAGAAGCATTTCTCTTAGCCTAAGATGCAGCTTTGATTTTTGGGTTATCGCAGGGCCGATGTATATACACTCTAGTATATGAAACAAAACTAGAAGATATACTTAGAATGTAGTCTTTGTTACTTCAAAGCCTAAGTTTCCTAAAATCATTGTTGGGCAAAGTAAAAAGAAACGTTTGTTCTATTACATAAGAAATAAACTTCATTTGGTATTCAATTGACTTTCTAACTTAGCAGGCAGGACTTTTACATCTTCAAATACTGAAAATAAATTGCATTCTTGGCCCTTGCTTTAAAAGGTTATGGAGAATAAATGCACACCCTGGTAGTGTTCTAGTGATCTCCCTAATCTCAGTTGCACTTTGTCAGAACGAGGTAACTGGTAGTTAAGTGAAATACCCTAGATCAAAGGGGGATTAATCACCAACTGAATCCTTGCTGAATAAACCTGTCATTCAAGAAAATTATTTCCACTGAACTTAGCAGAGGATTGAAGGTATTTGCATAACAGGGACCAACGTACTTCAGCCAGGTTAAAAGGTTCAGAATTCATCCCATGTTTAGCTTTTTGCCTCCTTTTCCTTTCAGCAGGCTGGTACAATGGTTTCTAATCTGATAATACAGCTAACTATCTAAATGATGTCAGAACAGGAAAGTATTGCAAAGTTTGGATGAGGGATGGATCAATTTCACTTTCAGTAACTCCTAAATCTGATTTGTTGGAATTTAAGATGTAATCCTAAAAAAGTCCCTTAAACCTGAGGACTGTTTATTAACATCCCTTTTCTGACCTTTGTCTTAGAAACAACCATTGTGCTGTGGCAGCGGTCCCAGCAGAGACTCTAGATGATAACTCGACCTACCTACCTCCCAGGGGTGGTGCAGGAGTCCATGAATGTCTGTAAAGGATTCTGAAATACGACAATAAAAACTAGAAGAAAAATACTAGCGTTGTTCTATGTATAAAATTGTGCTTTGAAACACCTTAAACCATATGATGCATAAAACTACAGTTTTAACTCACTAGAAATACTTAGTGTGAATAAATTAATTTTATAAGACTAATGTTTAATTAAAGAATTTTTAAACAAATAATTTAAGAATCCCTGACACGTTATTTACTTCAAACCTGACATTTGAATTAATTATTTAAAAAGTAAGAGGTAAAAATTGCCTACCACTGTGAGGGGACTGACTTACACTGTAAGGGTACTGCTGACTTTAAAAAGTTTAAAAAATACTGTTTGTAAAAAATAAAGAAATGAAGAGTTTTATCAAAATCATGAACTATCTTTTCTGGAGTACATTTTCAGAAATTTAACACTTTTTGTATATTTTGGGTCTACTGAAGAATAATCACCCATATGATAGACATCAGATTTCATAATCATATTTTGGCACTAAAAGGGAATTTAGCAATTCTGCCTCTGGAGTACGTCTGACACCATCCAAATCTTCAACTGGAAGTAGGTGCTCATATTCAGTGCAAATGCACAGCATCTTTCAAGTTAAAAAATGCAAAGAATAGTTATCAAAGAAAATGAATAAAATCCATAGTGGGATAATTTTTTAGAAAATGATTGAAGTTTTAACCCAAGAAAGGACTCTTAGAGTGTCTTATAGCTTAGAATAAGAACATGTCAATCACGATTAAGCTTCTGGAATCGGAATCCCTTTGAAATGCAGCTGTTTCTTCTTTAATTGTGGCAGCGGACTCTGAAGAAAAGAAAGGTCCAGTCTTAAAGATGAGTAAGGAATACAAAATAGCTCAGGATTAGTTGTGGAGTTCAAAGGTCGCTAATTACACTAAGGAGTTCCCAGACACAGAGAAAACATTAAACAGGTCACCTACCAAACGGGAAACAGACTTTGTCTTCAGAAATTATCCTGAAGTGACAGGTTTCTAGACAAAATCAAAAGCATCACAGTGTGCCCAGCTGATCTCAACAGGATGAAAACATGAGTTAGTTTAAGTTCTGTAGCGGTATGTTAGAATGGAATGGCAACAGATGGCATCAGGTTCCCCATCGTCCCTATACTTCTCCAGTACTTCTTAGATTTTCCTCAGGTTTCTAGAAATGTCAGAGCAAAGATTCACTGGTTTTTCCAATTGCTTATAAAGTTTTACCTAGGGGTTTATTATATGGAATCTCAGCCCACTCACTAGAGAAATGCCTCTTCCCTGTTTTATACTTGGATAAACATTTATACAATCAGATGTACAAATAGCTCCATTAATAAGTGAAATGTTAAACTTTGCTTGAGTTTAAGAGATTAAAAAAAACTTAAAGGAAATGATTTCTTCTTTCAAAAGGAAAGTTTTTTACTACTGATTATCTGTGATTAGCCTAGAATAACAAGCTAAAGTCCTGGTCTGGAATTTACTCTATCTTCATTACTTGGGATAATTTTGAACATAGAACATTATGCCATAATGCTTTGCAGAAAAGGAATTTATAATGAGTAGGACTGACTTTAATTTTATTTATTTATTTTTGACCTTAATTTTAAAAATCATATTTCAAATCCTAAATTAATATGCAATCTCATTTCAAAGTATCATAGCTTTCACGAAGTTCGCAGCTTTTCTAAGCTTTTCCTTAAGAGACTCATAAAAAAGAAACCAAGATACAATTTAACTGAATATTAATTTGTGATGCATATTTTTTATAACTCTTCTGTTCTGTAAAAAGAAACTTGACATGGAGTAAGTTTTGAGGATCTTGAGATTTCATCTTTTCTTGCATTTCATCCTTCCTTTAAAGTCCAACTTGACAATAAGCTACTATGAAAACAGAATGTGATATATAATTGTAAAAACAGGTAGAGGATAGAGTATGACTGGATGGTTCCTAAAGAAACCCAGAGCATGCCAATAAGGAAACAAGAGTGACAGCTGTAAAGACAATGTGCTACATGAAACTGAAATAAGATTAAGTGGTACTCTACACCCATAAAATAGCTTTTGAATTTTAACCTGAATTCATCCATTAATGAATTATAATAAAACAGAGAAAAACCAATACTATATCTAAATTTATCTTTAAAAATTTGGCTGCAGATATTCAGTAATCACAAAACACTATGCTCATCTTCAGAAGGTATCCCACACCTCTTAATATGCTTACTGACATCCTAAACAAGATGTTACTGTTGCAGCTTAATAAGTTTGCCTGAAAAGTAACTCCAGAACAGAGATAAGCACTGTAAATAGAATTATGCAGATTCTTTATTAGTCAGTAGGATAGTTCTTATTAAAAACAGGTTACTATTTAAATGATTTTCCTTCATTTTCATTGGCTATTTTCTCAAGAGATTTACAGTTGTTTCTAATGTGTTGTCTGGTATTCTGTTACAAAGCATTGTACTAGCAGTTAGTACTCAGGTTTGCAAGAGCAAATAGTTTTTTTTTATCTTACACGTCATCTATAATTCACTGGGAGTGGCAGCCTGAAGCTCTGTACTGAGAAGGAGCCTGATTCCAAATCCAGGAATGCCCAATGGAGAAAGAGGGCTGTGATTGATTAGCCATGTCTGCCACAGGGGCAGGAAGAAGCACATATGGCAAGTCTAAATGGGGCAGGAAGAAGCACATATGACTAGTCTAAAATGAGATGAAAGTGAATCACTAGATTTTATGCTCTGAATCATACTTAAGTAAAATCAAGGGAAAAAAACTGGATATATTAGTTTTTAAAATGTTCTTTCAAACTAAATCAGACTAAAAACATTGAACAAGAAAAATTTATAACTAAATAAATGATTTTCAATTACAGGTTATGTGCATATGCATTAAAAATAAAAGACTATGATTTAACTTGTTACTAGTGTATAAATCCCATTTAAACATGAGACAATTACAGTAATAATGATCCATATGTTACTGGAGCAGGAGCTTTAGAATTCCAGATGTAATAGTCAGAAGAAATTAGCTTCCGGTCTAAAAAAAAAGATAAGATTATATTAACAAAAATTCAATGAGAAAACAAAGTCATGGTATTTAAAATTTTGGAACACAATTATTTCAAGGAAGGAAATTCCTGGAGACAGTCATTTCAATTCAGTTTTTATCAAGGCATTATTATAACTTTTACCACTTTAAAAGTATGGGTTTATTACATACATGAATAATCCATCTTTTAGCCTATATATGCCAAATTTATGCTGATATCCCTCATGCTAAACCTGCTAATTTTTTTCTCACATCTTCCCTAAATTCTGTTTCTTATAGACCATTACTTCAGCTACAAAAACATTAAAAATATTTTTATTGGTTTCCTTCTGTAACCTCTCCATCACAGTCCTGAGTCTATTCTTGCTATTCTTTATGCATTCAAAGTTTCATAGACAGAAATACATTCTCAACTTTCTAGTAATGTTTTACAAAGGTTGCTTTAGTGGTTTCTTATAGTTCTGATCAGATTTAAGGTTTCTGTTTTAATAGTTTTGAAAAAATGACAACTTCTTTGAATTAAAGGTTTTTGACATGTAAAACTGAGATGATAATGCTCGTTTGGAGCTGCTGCTGCTGCTGCTGCGTCGCTTCAGTCGTGTCTGACTCTGTGCGACTCCACAGACAGCAGCCCACCAGGTTCCGCCGTCCCTGGGATTCTCCAGGCAAGAACACTGGAGTGGGTTGCCATTTCCTTCTCCAATGCAGGAAAGTGAAAAGTGAAAGTGAAGTCGTTCAGTTGTGTCCGACTCCTAGCGACCCCATGGACTGAAGCCTACCAGGTCCCTCCGTCCATGGGATTTTCCAGACAAGAGTACTGGAGGGGGGTGCCATTGCCTTCTCCACGTTTGGAGCTAGACACATGTAAATTCTTATTCCATACATCTCTATTTATCCAATCCTGCCTTTTCTACAATACCTCTTCATGCATCTTCTTCATAGTGAAAAGGATAAGTGTACGATACTGGCTGCTACTGTCCATGGGGTCACAAAGAGTTGGACACCACTGGGTGACTGAAAAACAACAATGATACATTACCTTGTTGCCTTTTTCCGTTGTTACTTCAGTTTGAGAATCTAGTAACACTGAGAGGCAACAGCATGTTGGTTAGGTGGTCAGGCTCTAGTGACTAACTGCTTGGATTGGAGTCCGTTTCGCCACTTACTAGCTATGTGATCCTAATCTCTCTGTTCCATCAGCATCCTCATCCCCAAATGGAGATAACACTTACATAGGGCATTCTAAAGATTAATGGGTTAGCCCGTACTCAGAACTATGCCTGGCACATAGTAAGCAATCAAGATTAGTTATTATTATTTAAATTACCATTATTAAACTATTATCAGAACTAAGTTGTATATTATGAATATAGATTTTCTTGTCAAGATGATAGCAAAATAAAGTTTCTCACATAGCTGCACAAAGTGATAGCTATATTTTGAAACTAAAAGAAGGAAATAAAAGATTGGTTATAATTATCCATTTAAAATAACCTCTTTCATTCATATATTAAGAAGCAGGTATATTACTGAAACATTCCATTCTGTATTATGCTCTCTGAAAATTACTACAATGTTTAGTAATATTAACAATATACTTATTGCTTAAAATATTTTAGATTTTATCTAAAGAGACAACTTTTTCCCATAGAAACACTGGTCTATTTACATTTAGACAATACTTCTGGTTTGTCCAAACTGACAACTATACTATGCCTTCATAAAAACTTTTAAAAAAAGCATTATGAAGATTCTTTCATATGTATGAATTTCTTAAAAAATAAAACAAAACAAAAAGTGGTACAGGAGAAAGCACAGGGAAAACCTATGGCAGTAAAGAATATGGCTTATTCTGATTAGACCTCACAGAATTTATTACTGCCATTCACAAGTAACTGCCTAGAATTCAGCAGTTCTGAGTTCGATAATCTTTTGAAACTTTCAAATTATAAAGTCTTGTCCTATCTTTCCTACTTTAAGGACCCTAACCCTTAGTTTAAGATTGTTGTTTTTCAGCTGCTAACTTGGGTCCAACTCTTTGTAACCCCATGGACTGCAGCCCACCAGGTTCCTCTGTCCATGTGGTTTTCCAGACAAGAATATTACAGTGGGATGCCATTTCCTTCTCCAGGGTATCTTTCGCAACCAGGGATTGAATCCGCATGTCCTGCATTGGCAGTTAGATTCTTTACCACTGAATCACCAGAGAAGCCCTGATGCTTTAGATATACTTATCTAAATATGACAGTTTTATTCTTAACATATGAGGCAAAAAGGTTTCTACTTACGTTCTGCTAACTCTGCCCTCATTCTAATGACTTGTTTGCTTTATGCCATATGTCTGTATTTGACCCAAATTAAAGTCTTAATTCAATAATTTTAATTAAATTGCTGTTTCCTCTACCTATATTTTCATGTATGTGTTTATATATATATAAAACACTATATATATATGAAACACATACATATATATGTAAAAACTAACAAACTCACTAAAGGCAGGAAACTTTCTATTGCTCTCCTTCTGGTAAAGCAGGGTACTAAGTAATGGTCACTGACTATGACACTGGCTAAAAATATCTCAAATTTTAATACTCATACTTAATATTTATTGAATCCATGCTACATGCTAAATATTATGTTGAGTGCTTGATCAATATAAGTTTTATTTAAACATCATAACAATCCTGAGATAAATACTACTACTAATTCCAATTTATACATGAGGAAATGAAAACTTTAAGAAGTTTACTAACTTGCCCAAGAGTCAAAGAGTATATTATAAACTGAGCAAAGCAAGTTCAACTTTAGACTAGAGCCCTCTATGTCAATCCTTGCTCATTCAGACCACTTTATAAATAGGAGAAGGCAGAGGGCAATGTACATAACCTATTAACACAGGATGGATTAGGCCAGAATTTTTATAAATTGGGATTATCTTCTGATCTTTTTCTTTCACATTTTAATTTTATCTTAGTTAATAATAACATAACACCACTTTAATTCCCCCAAGTTGGCTTGAATCTGTACAACTTACGTGTACTTATTTTTGGTTTCCCTGATGCAAAAACTTGAACCGAATGCTGATCAACATAACATCCAGTGAGTGTGTAATCTAAGATCCTAAAATGAAGCTAGAACAAGAAGAGAAATGTACCAAGTTAAGGTGATTATTTGGTAAAAATGATGGTCACATTTTTTTCCCTTGACACAATTTTAGGAATTTATTTCACACAATTCACAAAATAAAAATCACAAATAATACTGTTTATGTGTGCGTATGTACACATGTGTACATATGGACACATATACATTATCTTTCTGTTTTACATTAGAGTCATTTCTTTGTAAGGCTGCCATTATGAAGTGCTTAACACATACCAGGCCCATCATTAATATACAGTCTAATCTACACTGCAAATTATCTGTATTCCACAAACCAGGGAACCAAGGTTCAGAGACGGAAATACGTAGGTGGTAGAGCTGGCACCTGAACTCAGAAATGACTGACTGTAAACGTTGCTGGTCCTTCCCAGGGGTGTCTGTTGTTCTGTGTGTTCTCTTCTATCTCTAAGACTGGGTGATTGTGACATAGTTCAGATCATAATACTTTTACACACCTTTTAGCCAAACACAAGCATGTAATTACTAAAAAGGGAACACCAGTTTATCTGGTTTTGGAGGGAATAAAATGCTCTACTTAATTTTTCAGAAAACTAAAATTTAACTTATGTAGAACTAACTTTTCTAAAATGTAATCAACGAATGTAATGAATGAATGTAAGTTCCTGAATTTAATTGATCATGTAGTGTCATTAGTATAAGTGCCAGTTAATATGTTGTGCTATAACAGAGAGGGCCATTAGTACCTTCTCTGAAGGCATAGTGATAGCCACATAAACTATGAAAGGTCTATCACAGACCAGCTTTCTTTTGTTGTGATTCTCCTTACCTTTGCTGCTAAAAGCTTTTGAATTTGCAATAACCTGATAGTTTTCCTATACTTTTTTCTTTCTTCTTTCCCTGGATATTTCTCTCATTTCCTATCTTTCTTCTTTTGATTGTCAAACTAACTGATCACATGCATAGATGTAATTTTCAGGTCTCCTCAGCAATTTTTTCCCCTATTGCCACTCAAATTATCTAACATTAAAGAGCTCTAGCTTCCTTGTTTGGCATAATTCTGGATGCTGGAAGTTATGACAAGGCAGATTTCCACAAAACTAGATATAAAAATAAATTTATTTGGTGAATACAAATACCTATTACATGCTTACTGTTACTTTTTATGTAACTGGTTAGGTGATAAAAATGAATAGAAAAGTTACAGTCCCTATCTTTGAAAAAACATATAGTTAACATCCCACTTTTTTTTTTCTGAGAAACATACAGAAGTGGGAATTTTTTTTAATCATCATTGAAACAAACCTTCTGGACACAGTTGAAGTCAATACAGAAGAAATACCATCAGTGTACTTCTGATTTCACAGCTATTTCCCCTAGTCACTTTTATGTATAGATTGAAATCTATCTTCTTTGATTTCTTTGATACTATTCTATTTAGATTTTCCTGCTACCTTTCTGACCACCTTTTCACTTTCCTTCACTGATTCTCCTGAATCTTCCTATTTTCTCTTATCTTTTTCTGACCTTATTCATTTCAACTGCCTCAACTATTTCTTTTCCGTGGATAACTCCTGGATCCTAAGAATAGCTGAGCTTTCTTTTAAGAATCAACTTTAGATTTTTGAGCCCCTACTAGATACCCACCTTGGTATAAGTTGCTATTACCTGCAACAATGTGATATGAAGCCCACTCCCTCTCAACTTTCTCTATACTTCTTCTAAGAAATAGAACTTTCTTTGAAGTATGTTTATCCATTCATCAAATATTTATGTGTGAGGTACTGAACTAGATGCTCAGAATAGAATAATGAATGAATGAGATTCACATGGTCTCTGCTCTCCGGGAGCTTCAAGTCTGGTTTGTTGTTGTTTAGTCACTCAGTTGTGTCTGACTCTTTTGTGACCTCATGGACTGTAGCCTGCCAGGCTCTTTTGTCCATGGGATTTCCCAGGCAAGAATACTAGAGTATGTTGCCATTTCCTCCTCCAGGAGTGCTTCTCGACCCAGGGATCAAACGTATGTCTCTTGTGTCTCCTGCACTAGCCAGACAGATCCTTTACCACTGAGCCACTTGGGAAGCCCCTGTTTTAAGTCATAATTTTTTTTAATGACACCATCTTTGACTTAAAACTATTTCTTATCTTTCTACTTAAGTAGTGAGATTCAAGGATTTACCCTTATCACAGCTCTATTCTTTTTTTTTTTCCCTTTCTTTCTCTTTCTGTGACACTAAACTAGCTCAGCATCATTTATTTATCAACTTCCATCTGAAATATTTAAAAAGTTTGTCTCTAGCTTTTTTCCTTTCTCATCTTCTTCACATCCATCTCAGGCTGATCCTTATAAAGTACCACTTTCTGAAGGGACCACTCCCATACTCAAAAAAAAGTATAACATTTTCTAACAAGCAGTGAAAGCCAGAGTCAAACCTTCCATAGTCCAAACCTAAATCACTTATCCAGTCTTCTGTGTGACTACTGTTTCTAGCACGGGTTCCTAAATATGCCTAGTTATCCTTGATTTTCATGATTAAACCATGTCTTTACCTATACAAATGTTAGTCCATCTTCAAGGCTTCATAGTCATGCTCATCTGGGCCTCAGAGTTTTCCTTAAAGTTCATTGCTACTACAAAGCTTTCCATGACCACTTTGGTTGTAAGAGCTTAGTCTTTTTTTGAAAGTCCAAAAGTAGGCAGTCCTGATTAATTACTGACAAGCATCACTGAAAAATCCATAGAGCGCAAAGACTGTATCTTACATTCTTTGTATACAAATCTCAAATGTGGTATCTTAAGAGCTGGGTAGAAAGAAGTTAAATTGAAGTGTTTTAAATTTTACATAATTCTTTCACCTTAAAATATTTAAGTATTACGTGAAATAGAAAGTGATTAATAAATAGAATTTTACTAAAATCTAGAATTCCTACCACCAAAAGGATTAGAAAACATTAAAAATCAATTAGATACATGCACTTCAGAAACAGAAGAAAGATCTCTAATGTAGTGAGCCATATAAATATATTTACCTTTAAATATGCTGTACCTCCAATGCAAATCTGGTCAAATGGCTGCTTTTCATGGTTCTTGGCTCCAAAAGTTACAGTACCAGAAAGACTAATTTCCATTGATTTGGGAAACTTCTGTCCTAAAAACAGAAATACACCAATCAACTATTATAAATTAAATAGGTTCTATAGCAAATGAATGAAAGAAAAAAAAAACAAAACCTAGTTTACCAATAATCCAGACCAATAAGCTTTTCTCTCGAAATACTTCAAGCTGGCCAAAACTAGCTTTGTACTCCACATGTGTGATGGGACCTCTTTAAAAAAGAAATGGAGAAAATGGGGAAAAAAAAATCACAGATTTAAGTTTGAAGAGATGTATGTCAAATCTTGCTACTGTCACTTAATACAAGGACAACATAAAGCAGATCTGCATTTAAGTTTGCAGAATAGAGCAGAATAAATAATGAGTATCATATCTCAAAAAACAGAGAAACACAATAAATCTTTTTGGTGATGCTATACATTTCATTATTAATTCTAAAGATGACTACAAAGTCATACAGAATGTATTAATACAGGCACATGAATTGACATAACATGAAAACTATGAATTTTTACTATATAGTATGTAGCCTTTGAAAAGAACTATGCTGTAGAACAAATTTAAAAGTAGAACTGGTAAGGAAAAATCTTGTAATTGACTTAATTCACCAGGTTTTATCATTGGCTTAACTTATTAATATAGGTACAGTGCAGAGAAACTGCTAGAAATAAAGCCAGTAGAAAAATAATCCCCGAGGAAGCTATACTGGCTGAAGCTTATAATTTACTAGCAAATTTAACCAGAAAAATGGTGACATTTAAAAACAAAGAGATTATTTTTATGACTATGTTTTGGTTCAGAATCAACATATATTTGAGTAACACAAAATTTTTAGATCTTAAAAATAAGGTAAAAATTAAGACAACTTTATTACAGGGCAGTGTGAATGTACTGAAGAAGGCAGAAATCATGGCATCATGTAATTTTATTCCTACCTGTTGTAAAAAGGTATATGAGCTTCACAGAATTCAAAACTGTTTTTCACACTTTCATGAAGTTTTAAATTGACTGCTATCTTTAGCTGTACTTCTTCTTCTTTCACTTGATAAAAACCCAAAATTGGTGGAACAGGGACCTGGAAACAAAGACATTTTTTACATGATTCTCAAGTTAATGGGTCTAAAATGCCAATGGTGACTGAGGAAAGAGCTGTGCAGTAATATAGTCATTATATACACATACGCCTTTAATGACTAATAGGTTACTCCAAGTCATCCTGACAATAGATGATGGAGCTACATTCCTTCTAAGAACAGGGATTCTTCCATCTCATTCCATTTCCAGAAACGTACCTTACAAAGGTGTGTGATACATTCTTTTTCCTACTCTTGCTTGTCCAGATTCTCCTCCTCCGGGTGCTCTATGACGTACAACACAGAACATGCACTAGACATACTGACCCCTGACCCCTGCCCACAGTCCCTGCTGCCCTGCTTGTATCTTCACTCCCCCACCCTCCCAGGTCAGCAGTTACTTAAATTGGTCATGAAAAAGCTGATTAAGGGGAAACATTCTGAATCTTCTGGTAAGTAACTCATGAAAAGGTTTTGTTTGGACCAAAAGTATGGTGATTTCCTAGCAACACAATTCATAGATATAAAGATTACCAAAGTGCCAGCTTTTCCAAGGTTGCTTACCTGGGAAGTGTAGTAGCATAAGTTGAATGACTCTAATGGTGGAGTGAGCGGAAATTTGTACGGTCCACTAAATGCAGAATCATCCATTGCATCAATGCTACTAGAAGTCAGAATGGTAGAGTCAAGAGACGTCACACAAGGATGAACCAGAATATCCTGAAGTGGAGATCCATTGGTAGGGAGACTCAAGCTAATGGTAACATTTGGCATGCTTCCCTCTAGATCACACTGCAACAAAACAGGTATCACTGAGAGCTTTGAAGAAGTCATCTTCTGGATGAGGCTTTTCTTAATTTACCTGAGGCACTTTTCGCAACTTAACTCACTTTTCTTTCAAGGAAGTATTCTCATTGCTTTCTGTGTTCTGGATAATGATTCTATTATGCTTTCAGACACCCAAGCCAGAGACCAGGAGAGCCTTCCTAGAACCCTCTGCTTACATTTAAAATCCTTAAAAAACTACTTTTCTCTATTCATGTTACAAAAAATATTTCTGTCACAGCCCTCTAAGTGTATCTAGACTCACTTTCCTCTAATCAATAGATTCTCCATCAATGCCAAAGCTATCTTAATCAGATAATTCTAATTCTATTGTACCCATGTCAAAACTTCTCAATAGTTGCCCCTCAGTTTTATATTACTTTTAAAGCCTTTTGCTATTTGGTTCCCACCTATTTCTTTAACCATTTTCTACCCCACAAGTAATGCTCTAGACTTACTGGGTTCTTGAATTTACCTGAATAAATCATATCTTGTATCTACACTTTTGTATGTGCTATTCCCTCCAGCAACAATGCTCTTTTCTTCTTAAAAAGTCAATTCATTACATGCGTTGTGTGAAGCCTTATATTCTGTATTGTCATCTCTGTGGCCTACCTTTGTTATGCAGAGAAGCCCAGGACCTTCTTCCCTATGTGGTCTGGGTTAGTTGCCAATGAGAGGTACTCATGAGAGATTTAGGAGATAGAAGGGAAAGGGAAGTCATTATAGTAGGAAAGTCATGGAAACCAGATATGATAGCTTCACAGACCTCACTCTGAGCTCTGCTTGAAGGCAGTGGTGGCCAGACACCTCACTTTCACAGACTTTTCCATGAACTGCTGCTTTGGGGTCGTAACACAGATATGGTTGCTTTCCCGTGAACTCTGGCTTCTCTGTCTATCCTCGTCTCTAGGCTGGAGTCATTAGTGACTGCCAGAGGGTCAGAGACTTACTCTCTCAGCTCCTCTTATATTTGAGTAAACAAACCCTCATTCCTATACTAAACATCATGATCATCTATCTGTATTAGACCAAGAATAGGAGCCAACTCAAAATTCCCAGAAGCATAAAACTTGGGTCAGTCTACCAAAGAGTTATTTAAATACCATGATATGAATTAGTATTAAGTTATATATAACATATTCCCTGTTCATTACCACAGAATGAAAAAACATAGTGAATTTCCCTACTTTTATTTCACAGAACTTAAGAGAGAAGTGCATTCAACAACTTTAAGAGGTGTGAATGACATAATCTGCATACACCTTAAGTTGGAGACATTTATGATAATTATTTCCATTAAAATTAATAACTGGAATGTATTTTTGACCATAACAGAAGAGAGTGTAAGGCAAACACAAACATTTTTAGGTCACTTTAAGGTTAAAAGGGGCTTCCAACATGGTGCTAGTGGTAAAGAACTCATTTGTCAATGCAGGGAAAGTAAGAGATACAGGTACAATCCCTGGGTTGGGAAGATCCCCTGAAAGGGGCATGGAAACCCATCCCAATATTCTTGTTTGGAGAATCCCATGGACAGAGGAGCTAGGTGGGCTACAGTCCATAAGATCTCAAAGAGTCAGAGTTGGATACAACTGAAGTGACTTTGCTCTCACACAATGTTAAAAAGAAAAATAAAGACTCAATTTGTCTGCCAGAACTGTTTTAATTCTCTGTTCTTGAAATCTACTTTTTATCTATTAGATTTTTACATAGCTACTCAACATTAATACAGGCTTCCCGTATAGTTCAGTTGATAGAGAATCTGCCTGCAATGCAGGAGTCCCCGGTTCGGGGACTGGGAAGGGTTGGGAAGATCCACTGGAGAAGGGATAGGCTACCCACTCCAGTATTCTTTGGCTTCCCTTGTGGTTCAGCTGGTAAAGAATCCGCCTGCAACGCAGGAGACCTGGGTTCAATCCCTGGGTTGGGAAGATGCCCTGGAGAAGGAAAAGGTTACCTACTCCAGTATTCTGGCCTGGAAAATTTCATGGACTGTATAGTCCATGGTGTCACAAAGAGTCAGATACAACTGAGTGACTTTCACTCACTCAACATTAATATGATATATAAAAAATTTATTAGTTCAGAAAATAAAGGAGGAAAACAGAAAAAGACACCTCAGAATATTAATATACATGTATAAGCCTTCTTTTTTGGAGGGTTTCTATTTTTGATCATTACTCAATGTGGCACTTATCACTGCTAACTGTATTGTTATTTTCATTGTCTTTTCCTATTATTTAACCTCAAACCAGAGAACCCTATATTAACCTAGTGACTTGTTTAAATAAAACATGAGTCCTTGAAAATGATTTCAGATATTAAGTCAAAGATTTGTCAATTTCACCCTCTCTAGAAAAAATGGAAAATAAGTAGGGTGACTATAAAATATTTTCACAAGTTCTTTGACATTACTGTTTCAAGAGATGGAGCCTAATTCCACTTCCCTTGAATGTGGACTGACAAAGTGATCTGCTTCTGGTGAACAGAAAGTGGTAGAAGTGATGCAATGTGACCTCTCAGTCTTGGTGATAAGAAGAATAGCTTTCACTTGTGCCTCAGGTGGCTGGCTGGCTGCCTGCTCGATCAAAGGGAAGTCACCAAGCTGTGAGAATGTTCTTAAGCAGCCTGCTGAGAAGTCCATGTGGAAGAGAACTGCAGTCTCCTACCGATAATCAGCGCCAACTTGCCGGCCATGTGACTGAGTCACCTTGCAAGCAGAACTCCCAGTCCTGCTCACGCCTTCAGGTGGCTACGGCCCCAGCTGAGACCTTGACTGTGACAGACATCCACACTAGAAGCTCCTGGCTAAGCTGATCCTAAAGTCCTGACCTGCAAAAACTACAACTATTGTAGATGTTTATTGGTTGTGATGACAGGTTAATTCATTACACAGCAAGGCAGCTCACCCTCTGTGCAGTCAAAAATCCATGTATAACTTTACAGTCAGCAATCTGTATCCCATGTCCTGCATCTATGGATTTAACTGTATATTCAGCCAATAGCAGATAGTATGGGACTGAATATAGTACATATTCAATGAAAAAAAATCTGTATATAAGTGGATCCATGCTGTTCAAGGGTCAACTGCATATAGCTAGTATATTTAGTAAAGCATGCAAAAAGATAACATTATAAAATTTCACTTGAATATAACATCTAATGACTGCTGTTTATGGTAAGAATCAAGAATGTTATATTATGATGTAAAATAAAGTCAGCAAAATTTACTTTTCTCCATAAATATTAAGTGGTATGATAAAACAAGTATCAGAGAAAATCTCACCTTGCAAGTGACAACTCCAACGACCTGCCATGTATCTGCTATCTCTTGTTTATCATATTGCATGGAGTTTACCTTTTCAGTGATAGAAATAGAAACTTGTGGTTTTCCTTTGTATGTTCCAGTTTTCCAGGCTGGCTGTTTTTGTGGGTGAGTAACAGAAGCAAAATTAATATTGTCCAACGAATTCTGTAAGTTGGCATCTAACAAAGTGCCAAAGGGACAAGTTTGTAAAAGCAAGTCAGACAACTGGCTCAATTTGGTATTTAGCTCACTGTCATTTTTTTGACCTGAGGAAAGAAAATCCTGTACCCCAAAAAGAAGTTCAAAGCCTTGTGAAATTCCACTAATGCTAATTAATGGTGGACGAGGGGACAATGTTTGTTCAACCAGTGGAACACAAGCATATATCATGCCATTCTTTAGAAAAGCAACAACTGGCCAGAGTTCTTCACTTCCTACTGGGAGTCCATAAATGGATGTTTTATTGATGTGTGAGCAGCTATCACGACTCTCCAAAAAGTCCTTCTCATCATCCAACAATCTCAGTTCAAAAAGCAGGGCTTTCAGGAAGGGACCATCTTCAGGAACAGGCACATAACTTGCTCCATTGAAGACTTTAGCTCTTTTTTCAACAGTTGGATACCGTCTGCATCAATGGAAATAAAAACATAATTAATTCCTGCAAAAACTGGAAGTCCAAAACCAACACAAGGCAAATAGTAACAAAACACAGAATAACAAACACATACATACACTGACACATGAAAATCCAACCAAAAAATATTATATTAATGTTAAACTCTTATGTACTTGATATATCTCAAATGATAAAGTACTATTTTCTTTTATTTTTAAAAATTGAATTTAGTTCATTTTTTAAATAGGTTAGGATACCTATTTCTAATTCAAAATCCTAGTCTGGGGTATTCAGATTCCCACTTGGTAAGCAAGGCATGTATATGTTTAAAACATAAACACACTGTCATTTTCAAAACACAATGATACATTTTGCAGTGAAACTCACTTTTTTCCAAGTTAGTATACATGAAGCTACAGCTGTACAGTATTCTGCTGGGTTAAGGAACTATGATCTATCTGGATTCCCATTGGTAGAAACATCACTTTTGTTATTACAGGTAAGACTGCAAAGATTTTCTTGTCTTGTTTTTCCTTCCCTTTCTCTTTCCTTCCTCCCTCCTTCTCTTTCCAATTGAAGTATAATTTACATATAACATTGTATTAGTTTCAGGGAAGCAACATAATGATTTGATATTTGTATATGTTGCAAAACGATCACTGCAGTAAGTCTAGTTAACATCTGTCACCTTATATAGTTACACATTTTCTTTTTCTTATAATGAAAACTTTTAAGACTTCCTGTCTTAGCAACTTCCAAATATGCAATGCAGTATAATTCAACTACAGTCACCATGCTGTACATTACAACCCTATGACTTACTTATTTTATAGCCATGTTTGTACCTTTTGATTCCCTTCATAAATTTTTCCCACCCCACCACAGGATATTTTTTCTGATTCCATCTTAGTAGAGCAGGATAGAAAAAAGTGGTTCAATTTAATCCTCCACATTAGGCATTCATTAGTACCGTGAGTCTTCTTGCCAACCCCTACAAAAATATGTAAGGGCATTTTAGTAATAGTGGTTTATCTATATAGCCTTGGAAGATACTATGAGGTAACAAAAAGAATAAAATAAGAATAACCTTTTATAGTTTGCAAGCTCTATGCTGAACAGTAAGTTACTAATTCATCCCTTTTTGGGAGAAACAGGAGATGTTTTTTGCTCATTTACAAAAATGTTAGATCACATTTTCTTAATTAAAAAATAAAAGTACTTTCCCCTATTCCTTATTTCTCCACTCCGAAGTCCACAACAAATCAATTATTTGCTACTGGTTTCTGTATAGGGTTTCCTTGGTGGCTTAGACGGTCAAGAATCTGACTGCAATGTGAGAAACCTAGTTCAGTCCCTGAGTTGCAAAGATCCCCTGGAGGAGGCATGGCAACCCACACAAGTGTTCTTGCCTGGAGAATCCCCATGGATAGAGAAGCCTGGCAGGCTACAGTCCATGGGGTCGCAGAGTCAGACACGACCGAGAGACTAAGCACAGCAAAGCTTTTGTATAAACTGCCTAACTTCCCAAAGTCTATTTCCTTATTTGTAAAATAAAGTATGGCGAAAGAACATAGAAGCAAAGAACACACCTAGCCAAAATGTTTTTCTACTAATTCTCTAATGCTACTAATATTTTATTAGTATAGGATAAATAAGTGACAGATGAATTATCTGAACCCAACTTATGGCCTTCATAGAGATGTTGAAATGTCCACCCAAACATATCTGAAGTTTTGTTTTGAAATATTCTGAGCATGGCAGGAAAAAACTCTGAAAACAAGAACAACTTCTTCAAGAACAACTGTACACAGTATAAAAACCTTACCTCTACAAGATGTTAAAATAAGCTACAAAGCCACAGATATAAATACAATATGGTGTTGGCACAAGAACAGATAAAGTAACAGAACTGAGACAAATTGGTGTTTAAATAATTTTAAAAAAGAAAAATGAGAATGTATTCAAAGTTATTCATGTAATAGTGAACCTCACTCATTTACATTTTGATGTGTTTTCTTGATTGAGGAAAGGGAAAATTAAGCTCTTAAGTGTTCTCTTAAAATTCTAAGTGCAAGAATTTCATGACTAAAATTGTAAAAACAAGTCAGTCTGGGACCTTATGTGTGGTGCTAAATCGCTTCAGTTGTGTCCAACTCTTTGCAACCCTACGGACTGCAGCCCGCCAGGTTCCTTTGTCCATGGGATTCTCAAGGCAAGAATACCGGAGTGGACTGCCATACCCTTTTCCAGGGGATCTTCCCCACCCAGGGACTGAACCCAAGTCTCCTGCATTGGCAGGTGGGTTCTTTCACCAGTAGTGCTTCCTGGGAAGCCCCCTGGGTCCTTTTATGATACCTCAATATGTGCTCAATAAATACTTTGTTGGATGACTCAATCTGTCTTTTCAGATTTATTCTAGGCCTTTTGTAAAGCAGGACTTGAACTTTAAATGGCCCCACAACTATAGGGAAAAATACCAACCTAAGCTAGACTTGAGGCTTCCCTGGTGGCTCAGATGGTAAACCGTCTGCCTGCAATGGGGGAGACCAGGGTTCGATCCCTGGGTTAGGAAGATCCCCTGGAGAAGGAAATGGCAACCCACTCCAGTACTCTTATCTGGAAAATTCCAAGGATTGAGGAGCCTGGTAGGCTACAGTCCATGGGGTCATAAAGAGTCAGATACGACTGAGAGACTTCACTTAAGCTAGACTTGAGTGGTGCTGTTACTGTCTATCCAGACAGCAAATCTTTAAACCAGAATCTAAGTCAAGTTTTGTTGTGGGGAAAAAAGTAGTTAGAGAAAAGATCACTTGGATTCTCAAATCTTAAGTGATGGCCTTTATCCTTTGGCAAATATGTGGATAATACACATACCCATTTCACTTTAACTCTAGCCCCAAGAGGTCAGAAAACAGAAAAAAAAAAAAACCTAATTAATTTGTTCAATGATACAAGATAAACAAGTGACAGATGAATTATCTGAATCCAACTTGCTGCCTTCATAGAGATGCTGGAAAGTCCACCCAAACATATCTTAAGTTTTGTTCCGAAATGTTCTGAGAATGGTTGGAAAAAACTCTGAAACAAGCACAACTTCTTCAAGAAACTAGTTATTGTATGCAGTACAAAAATCTTACCTCTATAAGATATAAAAATAAGCTACAAAGCCACAGATATAAAACAGTATGGTGCTGGCAGAAGAACAAAGTAATAGAACTGAGACAAACCAATGGAAGACATAACAAACTATTAAAACAGCCCACATATCAATGAAGAAAATACATATTGTAGGGAAGATGATTCAGAAAAACTGGCCCATAGTACAGAGAAAAACAAAGTAAGATTCCTACTTAATGTCACATCCAAAGACAGACCATAGATGGATTAAAGGCCTAAATATAATAAGTAAAATGACAAAGTCAAGAGAAAATAACGTAGGAAGACATCTTGGGCTATAAGGGTAGGGAAAGACTACAACAAATCCCCTAAAGGGCTAACTACTATGTAACAAAACTAAGGGTTTCTGCTTAACCAAAGTAATGAAAAGTTCATTGACTATGATAATAAGTTAAGATCAAGTATCTGCAATAGCAAAAAATGACATAGGACTAATATCAAGATTACAGAACGAACTCCCAACAAGTTACCAGGAAAAAGCCAGCAAATCTCAAAGAAAAAACAAAGAATATGTACAGGCAATTCACAGAAAAGGAAAGCCCAAGGGCTAACATCATTGCTGCCACAGAGAAATGCAAATGAAAGTAAGATATTATTTACACCAATACTGGCAAAAAGTGCAGTAAGTGTTAGAAAAGAATAGAGATAGTGATGGTGAGAGTGTAGACTGGTCAAGGTATTCTGAGGAGCTAATTATTTGGTAGTAGTCAAAATCAGTATAGATATGTCTCATGTAACTGAGGTTATCTACTGCAGCATGGTTTTGATAGCTGAGTTGGAAGCAATTTGGGAGATCATCAGCAGGAGAAGGGGATATGTAAAATGTGGCAGATGGAAACCCTGGAGTACTACAGAGCAAGTAGAAACAATGGCCTAGATCTGCACTATCCAGTATAGTAGCTGCCAGTCTTACATGGCTTTTTAAACTTAAAATGAAACAAAATTAAAAACTGAGTTCCTTAGTTACAATAACTACATTTCAAAAATTCAACAACTACATGTGGCCAGTGGCTACAATTTAGACATTTAGATTAAATCTTATAGATTTAGAACATTTCCCATTTCCATCACTGAAGTGGTGGACAGTGATGCCCAAGATGAACACAAAGTAACCTGGATATTTCTTAAAAATAGGGCCGAGAAGACTTCCCTGCTGGTCCAGTGGTTAAGAATCTGCCTGCCAATGCAGGGGACACAGGTTTGATCCCTGGTCTGGGAAGATCCCACATGCTGTGGAGCAAGTAAGCCCTTGGGCCACAACTACTGTGCCCTAGAACCTGCAAGTCGTAACTACTAAAGCCTATGTTCCGTAACAAGAGAAGCTACCACAAAGAGAAGCCTGCGCACCACAACTAGAGAGTAGTTACCACTCACTGTGACTAAAGAAAGCCCACACAGCAAGGAAGACCCAGTGCAGCCAAAAAAAAATTATCCTGAGAAATCTGACAAATGTTAAGAAATGGGAATGACATCTGTATCATTAAATTATATAATTTAAATATATATGAACACACAAAAGCATAACACCAATCATATGAGGTAGACAAATGGCAGACATAAAGATACCAAAGGGAATATATAATTAAGCAGGAGTATCTGGAAAGGATGGGCCAAAAAGGTTGATGAACCATATTAAATATTATAAATAACCTCCTGAGATACTACAGCAACAACAAATGTAAGCCAAGTATCCCTGAGAAAATGGTAAACTCCAAGTCTCTATGTCTCCAGTAACAGAAATAGTTTAGGTAGGAAAGACGGAATTATTCATATTCACATTGCCTACCACTTTTCACTTAAAATACACTCATCTTTATCAGCCTCAATCTAGATTCAGAGCTAGCTATTAATACTCCACTATAGAGCTTTTCTCAGGGAAGAATGAATGTTCACAAAAACTGCTCACTACGGAGAATAAAAGGTGAAACAAGTTACTCAAATGCTGCCCATATTTTACAATGAGTTAATGTATGTGTAACTCTCTTCACAGTTATTTTGATAAAACGTGGCGAATTTTATATAAGTGGCACTAGATCAGCTTACACCATTTTAAAAAAAGTGAATTCAGTTTAATATTTTTGTATTTTTTCAATTTTCAACAATTAGGAAGTTTAGAAGTAAACAGAATTTCTAGGAATTAAACATAAGAAGCTGAAAGTAACAGTCTGATACTGCCCAGCAAGGACTTCCCTGAAGAATGAATTAAAATGTCCTTGCACGATTTTTATTAACAAAAGTAGAAAAATCTGAAACATTTACTTCTCAGAAAGTTTCCTTTCCTTTTGTCACCTCTGTACCAATCTTACGCAGGTGGTAAGGCTGGTAAGATGGTAGGGCTTCGCTGGTAGCTCAGCTGGTAAAGAATCCGCCCGCAAGGCGGGAGACCTGGGTTCGACTCCTGGGTTGGGAAGATCCCCTGGACAAGGAAACGGGCTACCCACTCCAGTATTCTTGCCTGGAGAATCCCATGGACAGAGGGGCCTGGCGGACTACAGTCCATGGGGTCGCAAAGACTCGGACACGACTGAGCGATTTTCACTTCCCTTTACTCAGGAGAAAATGTGCCAGGCATCAACTCATTTAATTCTCACAACACTATGAGGTAGTATCACAGTCTCCACTTATTAATAACATGTTATAAGGGTTAAGTAACTTGCCCAGGTGTTGGACCAGGGATGCACAGCATCACAAAACTATGCTACACTATCCATCCATCCTATCACGCCTAAGGATACAGATTTGCATTTACCTGGAGAATTTGACAATGCCACAAAGTGGAGTTCCTGGTTCGTGGCTTATAAGCCACACTGCCCGCTGGGCCATGATAAGCCACTAAGGCATCAGCTTATCACCAAGGTGGCCACCGAGGCAGAGCGCAGACGGGCTTTCTCAGGCGTCTTCAGAGCCACCTTCTGCTCCACTGCAAACAGAGTGGACTCAGCAGAAGAGCTAACTCCTTCAGGCGAAGTGACTAAAACCTTCGAGTCTGTCCGGGACAACACACGCCACAAAAAGTTCTATGAATCCGCACTTCAATTCCTCATAAACTTATCTTCACCAGACCAACTACCTTCTTTCTCCCGAGCCCACTTCCGGGACGGTGGCCCTCAAGGATCACGATTCCTCACTCGCTCGCGCGGGGAGCCTTTCTGCAGTTCGCCCGCTGCTCGCCTCCTCGCCGGCCCCTCCCAACAGCCGCCCTGGTGCGCGCAGCTCCACTTCCGGCGTGCGAGGCGGTGACAATGGGAGCGGCGCGGGCGGCGCCGGGAGGCAGCTGACAGGCGTCTGCGGCTTCGCTTCATGGCCGTTCTCCCGCCCCGCCTGGGCTCTGTGGGGAGCGGGGCGGCCCGCAGCGGCCGGGAGCCGAGGCTGGCGAGCCGAGCGGGGACCTGTGTACCGCGCCGCTGAGGCGCAGCATGTGAAGCGGAGACGGCATCCAGTGCGAGGCGAGCCTCTCAGCCGGCCGGGATGGCCACGACGGCCGAGCTCTTCGAGGTGGGTTCTCACGGCTCTTCAGGGAGGGGCAGGCCCGGGGTGCAGGCAGCGAGGTGGGTGGGCAGAGGAGTGGGCGTCCGCCGCTGCCCGGGAGCAGCCGAACGGAAGGAAGGTGCGAAGGCGAAGGAGAGGGGTGGTGGCTCGGGTGTCGGCGCAGGCGGAGCGTGAAAGGGGGGAGGGGTGGCTTGGGGCCCCGGGTGGGGAGGTGCGCAGGGGTGCGAGCCAGGAGTCCTAGTAGAGCAGCGTCGGCTGGAAGGGAGCCTCGGAGTCTGGGCTTTGGAAGATGAGCTCGGGACGGGACGGGCTGACTTAGGGCGCGGAAGGAGGAGGCTGACCGTCTGGCGAGTTCTGTCTTGTCGCCTGGGTCCCCGCATGATATTCGGGGGCGGGGGGGGGGGGCTTGAGATGGGGACGACAAGGGGGCTTCTTGTGATTGAGTGATGACTTGGTTAGCCAGTGTTGGAAGCGGCACTTTACCAATTTACCCTTTCATTTGAGAAGGCTGTAGTCATTTTTTAGGACAATAGAGGCCTACTAAACCCTTCCCACTGAAGAAGGTCAGAACTAAAACTAACGTTTGTGTTCAGGTCTTGAGGAGTTGGAAGTGTAACATAACCCCCCTCAACTGCTAGTTTGAGAATCCTTAACGTGTGAGACATTGACATTCTAATGTGTTTTCCGGACCGTTTTCAGTCTCTAAAACTTAAAATTGAGCTAAGGGGAATCCAGTGTGAGAAGCTGTGATGCTTGAGATAATAGAAGAGGAAAATTCTAATTGGACCACGTAACAACAGGGTATCTCCTTTTGTGAAAGAAATGAAAGCTGAGATGTGAAGGAAAGAGAAGGATGGACCCTTTTTGTGTGTACTTATGTTTCATACTGAGTAACAAAATGTAGGTAATAATTAAGAAGACTATATTTAAGTCAATAATTAAGTTGACAATAGATAATTTCTCCATAGGTGACAATTGGATTCTTTTTTCTGCGTAAGATTCTGCAGGCTTTGTTTTGTTATTTTGGGTTTGTTTGTGTGTTTTCTTTTTTTTTTTTTTTGACTTAAAATTTGAATGCCACAGCTTTTGTAACAACTGGGAACTTTTCATTTGTGTTAATATAACTATATTTTGGATTTCTGTCAGCTTTTGGATAGATAGTGCATTTGTTGAGGAATAGTGTATGCTATTGTTATAATAAATTGTAATAAAAAGTAATTTGTGAGTGGAAGAGTATAATTATTAGAAAGAATTGGAAAATATTAATTATATTTCCTCAGATTTAAGTGTAGGGACATATATTTATTGCGTTAATTTCTCTAACTCCAAAACTGTGCCATTTGTTTATTGATTGACAGGAGCAGGGAGACATTCTTTTTGCTAAAAGCTTTTACTGTGTGTTCCTGAGCCAGATACTGACTTATGAAGTTGAAATCTTTAATGAAATAGGGAACCAGCTAGCTGTTAATATACAGAAAACTGTTAACTTTGTCATACCGTTCATAAGATATTAACCTTTGAATTCCCAGTTGTCTTTTTTTCTTTAAATGTTTGATCGTATGAGTCCACATACACTTCCTTGAAAATGTATTTGATTTCTGTTCCACATGGGGGAAGGAGAGGAAGTAGGGAAATATGTGTAGTTTATTTTGCTTTCTAATGTCTTGGCATTTAATAAGGTAGTTAAACTAAATTAGGGTCTGAGTTAATGCAATGACTTCAGTTATGAGAGCAGGTAATAATTAACAGTGATGATACATACAGCGAGTCCTATGTCCATGGGGTTTATAGAGTGCCCTCAATTGAACATGCTTGTGGGTCTTAACACATGCGACTTTCTCTTTGCTGACCATCTGTAGCTTGTTGCTTGATCAAAATTAAAAGCATATTACATTAATAGTTACAATTAAATGTTAATAGGAATGATAAGTATATTTATCTTTTCAGCCCTACAGTGGATTCTGCCCTTGAATAAGTTTTCACCGCTAAGTGAAAAGTTGGTCTCTTTGCTTTACAGGGAGAAGGAAAAAAAGAAAACAAGAACCAAACTGTTGCTTTTGCCTTTAAAACATAGGTTGTAGGACAAGTCAGGGAGTGCCTTTTTTTTCTGTTATTTTCCTTCCTTAGTCACAGCTGGAGAACTAGGGAAAACAGGTTAGGATGTAGTCAAGGATATTTAATTTTTATGCATTCTGGCTTTCATGCACCAATAAATTGAATTGTGCCTTAATTTTTTCACACTGAGAAAGAAGTTAAAGCAAAATTATGCTTTTAATCTGTGAAATGTCTTAAGTGTTAACCCTGTTTCTTTTAAAGTCTTATTGATCCTGCGAGACTTCCTTTTTAACATAAACACCTTCATATAACAAAAGCGAACTACAAGATATTTCCTCAGTTGACAGAAATGATTTAAAAGTTCTGTCTGCAGTATTTCTAAATGATCACCTCAGGATGGACATTCTAAAAAGAGTTCATATATGGTTTGTGTTATGTCCTCTACACATAAAAAGTAGCTGGGATAGTAAATTTTTTCTCTGTTGTCCTAAGTATTCCCCTCTTTTCACTGCATTGCTGAGAACTTTGTACTCCCTTTTCACTTGGTATTTTTCTCTGCTGTCATTGTTCTGGAGTTTTCCCTTCTGCTTGGGCAAGTTGCCTTTATGGGAGGATTCTTCCTTAAGCAGAGTCTGTTGAGTACCTACTAAGTTAATGAGGCGTCATGTCTCAAAGAATTTGCCATAGACATATTAATCCTATGAGATGTGAAGCAAAAAACACAACTGGTTCAGAGCTCGAAGAAGTTTGGGGTGTGGGCATGCTTCGTTTCCTTAGAGATTTACAATATTCCTTGGTATGTTAAATATTTTAAGAAGTTCATTTCCCAAACTTCTTTGACCATGAGAATGTTTTATTTTCTACTGTTAATTTTGTGAATTCCATGGAACATTGGAAAATGTTGAATTTATTATAGAACTTGCCCTTAATGTTAAATAGGGGGAGAGAAGATAGATATATAGCTACATACTCTTGAAATAAAGTTATTAAATGGTGTCAGAGGTCTAGGTAAAGTGCTATAGAAGTTGAAAGAATAGGAAGATTACCTCTAGAAGTGGGAAAGGATTAGAAAGTGGCATTTGAATGAAATACAAAGCATAAATTAAATTTGAGTTTGTGGAACTGGGTGGAAGGACATTCCAATAAAGCAGACCATCCAAGTGTAGACCCCCCAAACAAGGGAAGAGATCATCTTAGTTCATGAAGTATAGTATGCATGAAGAAGAGGAGTGGCATGTAAGATAATTGGAGTTTTTAATTGTCTAGGTTCTAAATACTAGGATTAGGAATTTGATTTTTTTTCTTTTTTGTAAATGTGGATGTGTTAATAATAGTGTTTGAAGTTAGGTAATTTGACTGTGGTGACAATGGCTCTTTGACTTCCAGATTAGAATTTGAATAGTGAAGAACACATTTGTATAAAAACATATTTATGTCTCTTAGATTTATAAATTAAGTTACACAGACTGAAGACTTATTCAAAAAGACTTATTCTGTTGTTCAATTAACTAGTTAGTAATGAACATGAAATATACAAGTAAGGACCACTCCTTTACTTTCAAGATGTTGATATGCTACTTGTTTTAGCCATATTAGCTACTAAATACATATTTATGGAACTTGGCCACCGATTATAGTATCATGTATATGAGAAAATGGATTCATTCAGTAAACATTTAGCTTTCCTTACCTTACCTACCCTAGGCCAGAAATCCTTCCAGGTACTGGAATTAAAAGACGGTTTGAGTTAAAAATCTAGTTGAGGGAGTGAAAGAAAAAAAAAACACCACCTTTCTTCTCTCAACACTTTACCATTACTCTCAGTATTGCTTCACTTCTGACACCAGATGTATGGGGATGGGAATTTTTTTCCCACAACAATTCAGTTTTGCAACAGACACTGACTGGGTTTTCTACAATTCATTCTAATTCTGATACTGTTTACCTGGAGTTAGCTTAAGTCCCACAAAGGGCTCGAAGTTAAGGGTTCAGTCTCACAAAAATGTCCCCACTTTGGAGACCAATGTTGTCATCTCTGTTTCTGATCCACCAGCCATAAATTGGAGGTTCTTATGACCTCCTCTTTGGGTTCAGTAGTTTGCTAGAATGGCTCACACAACTCAGGAGAACAATTTAGTAACTAGATTACTGGTTTATTAAAAAGCTCAGGAACAACGAGAGGGAAGAGGTGCCTGAGGCAGAATATGGAGAAGGAGTACTGCACTGTCGTTCTCTCCTTGGGTATACCACCCTTCTAGCAACTTGATGCGCTCCACAACCAGGAATTTCTCTGGACCCCACACTTCAGGGATTTTTATGGAGATTTCATCATGTAGAGAATCAATGATTTGTTTAATCTCTAGCCCTTCTCCTCTTCACAGAGTATAGAGGATGAGGCTGAAAGTTCTGGGCTTCTAATCATGCTTTATCTTTCTGGTGACCAGCCCCACCCAGGAACCCACCAAGAGTTGCTTCAGTAGAGCCAAAGGTGCTTCCAGGAGATTTCAAGAGATTTAGGAGTTCTGTGTAAACCACTCCTATCAACTTCGTCACTCAGCAGATTAGAAGAATTTTAGGAGGACTGTGTCAGGAACCAGGATCAAAGACCACTGGAACAAAAGCTCTCCTGGCACGCTTACCACTTAGCCTCTTTGTTGTCTTGTGTGTGCTTTCTTTCAGCCTTTCCTTGTGTAGGATGAATCCCATTTTGCTAACCTGAAACAAAACATTTGTAGTGCTTTTCAAAAGAATCAGTGTTCAATAAATGTAATTCATTTAAATCCACCACAAAACACATAGTCTCGTGAGAATAAAATCAAATCTGGTTAAAAGGAGAAGCCAAATGGGTAAAATTCATTTAGTTCCAGTGCTGGAATTGCATAAAGCTCATGTTTGGTTTCTAGTAGAGTCTTAGATTTATAGCACCGTAGAGTGCCTATTTTTTATTTCTG